CTAAATATTTACTGAATGAGTTTATTAATGATGACTGTCATTTATGTCAGAAAATGTTCTAGCATACTGAGAGATACCTAAGTAACCATACAAAATATAGAGGGCTACCAAAATGCCCAGGTTTATTGGTTCAACTGGTCAATAGACATAAACCTGTCAGATAATCCATCCTTCAAGATATGAATATTCCATACACTCACTCCAAATCACACCATGAAGCCTTCTACTCCCAACTCCCCAAAAGGTTAGAAAAACATGAATGCTTATCAAAGAAGATCCTTTCTACTAAATAATGGGAGAGGAGAAAAAATAATCAAAACAATTTATTAAAAAGCTTATGAAAATAAGTAAGAAAAACACTAGAATTAAATAGAATACCGTATATGGGCAAAGAATCTGAACAATTAACATAAAAGGGTAATTTAAAATACTAAGTAGGAAAACTATTCAATCTCACTAGCATTAAAAAATACTCATTAAACAAAAAAAATTTAATTGTAGGCAATTTGATAAATTACACTATTAAATGCTAGTACAGTATGACGAGTCAGATGCTCGTAATCTTCAAGTGAACTTGGAAGTGGGTTCAATTTCCCAGAACACTATTTGGCAAAATGTCTCAGAAATCTTAGTTCATAATCTTTGACACAGTAACACTCAACTTCTAGGAAAAATTTCATAAAGTCCACAAAATATCTTTGCACAAAGATATTCACTTTAACATGTGTTTAATAAAGAAAATTTAGAGCCTTATAAATATCCAACAATAGAGAAAGTATCAATAAACTTCTTTCTAGATGATGTTTATGGGGAATTTTAATGATGGGGAAATTTTTGTGATGAAGATTACATAATTGTATGATTGCAAATTGCATCTATGTCAACATATCAATTATGTAACATGTGCACAGGCAAAAAAATGAAAGGAAACACACCAAACAGCTAAGAGTATAGGAGTATTTCTCTGAGTCTTTGAGGCTTTGGGGTGATTGTTTTTCTTCTTTATACCCTCATGTATTCTCCATAGTAAACATGCAATCATTTAAAAATGAGAGAGAAAAATAAACACTCTTTCAGATGATGACATTTCACATTTTAAAAATCTCCACGGGGTTGCCGATTCCCCCGTGGGACTCTGCACTACTTCGAAATGCTGAAAGTTTCCATCTAATGAACCGAAAGTTTGAAAGCAGAAGCAAACTCTGCCTCCTCCTTCCTCTCCTCCCATCCACGTAGATTCAGTCTGGTTTTCCGGGGCATCGCCCGTCGGTCCAGCCCCACACTGCTCATTCCCCCGCTTCAATGCCCTCCCTCTGAATCTCATACTTTTCTTTCACTCATCTGTTTCTTGGGGACTATCCTTTCAAAGTCACTAACACAAACATTCGCTGAGCAGCTCCTCCAGGCCAGGCTCTTGGCTAGATTCTTGGAGAGTTTTACTTCAGACCGGACTGGAGTCCTGACAGTAAAAGTGGTGCTTCCCACCTCCTGGGCACTGCCTGGGGCTGGGCAAACTGAGGAAGAGCCAATCAGTGGGCACCACTGACAAAGTTCTGCACTCAGGCTCCTCCCACCACCTCTCCCCACCACCACCACCCACATCTCACCCTCTCAACTGCCTGGTCCCCTACAGAGGCCACACTCATCTTGTCACCAGGGTGGTTCCTAACAGCCACCACCTCCAGTCTCCAATGCTCCATTCCATCCCCACACTCTACTGGAATCATCTTTCTAAAATGAAAGTCTGATTATCTGCTTAACCCTGCTTAAAGCCCCTCCATGCCCCTCACCCCCACCCTCCTTCCCCACCACTGCTGCTCCTGAGAAAAATTCCAAACTCTTTAACGTGGCTGTGTCATCGGCCCTTAGTAACCTTGCAGCCCCATTGGCCACCCCTCACTTACTTACATTTTTATGTAATTACTCCATGAGTTTTGGTGGAGCACTTTCTGTGTCAGGCACCATGTTGGGTGCAGGGAGTTGGCCATGAAGAAAGACACACCCTAGCTGGTTTGGCTCAGTGGATAGAGCATCAGCCTGCAGACTGAAGGGTCCCGGATTTGATTCCAGTCAAGGACACATGTCCAGGTTGTGGGCTCCATCCTCAGTAGGGGCGTGCAGGAGGCAGCCAATCAATGATTCTCTCTCATCATTAATTCTGTCTCTCTCTCCCTCTCCCTTCCTCGCTGAAATCAATAAAATATATTTTTTAATTTAAAATTAAAAAAGACACACCCTAGGCCTGGAAGCCAGCCTTCACTAGCTGCTTTCTGTCCTGGCTCCTCGTAGTGTGACAGGTGGACCAGCGGCATCACCATCACCTGGGAGAGAATCTCTGACCTTCCCCTGATCTACTGAATGGAAAGAGTAGTTCAATTCTCAGGTGACTTCCCAGGCATGTCCAAGTCTGAGAAGCCCTGTTGTTCCTCACTCTCACCTGCTACCTCCTCACTGAAGGCAATGGCAAGTGGCATCACAAACTCAATTAAGCATTCCAACAGCCTGGGGTACTCTTTGCCCTTCTCTTTGCCTAACTCCCACCTATCCTTCAGTTTCTGCATGGACTTCCTGTCTGTAAGGATGACTTCCTTCCCTGACCTCCTAAGCTGGGAGTAAGTAACTCCCCTATATGGTGTCACCATCAAGACACTATGGCTCGCCTGACCGGTGTGGCTCAGTGGTTGAGTGTCAGCCTATGAACCAGGTCATGGTTCGATTCCCAGTCAGGGCACAGGCCCGGGTTTCCGGCTCGATCCCCAGTGGGGGGCATACAGGAGGCAGCCAATCAATGGTTCTATCTCATCATTGATGTTTCTATCTCTCTCTCCCTCTCCCTTCCTCTCTGAAATCAATAAAAATATTTTAAATAAATAAATGGTCCTTTTTTAAAAAAAAAACACAGACACTATGGCTCTGTCCTGTGGATGCTGCCCCCACCCCTGCAAATGCTATAAGAGTAGAAGCTGCATCTCTCTTGCCAAAACCACATTCCTGGCAGCAAGCCTAGTGTCTGACATAGTAGGTCAATAAAATGCTGTTAAAAAAAAAAAAGCATAGCCCTGATCAGTGTGCTTAGTGGTTAGAGCATCGGCCTGTGCAGATTCAATCCCCAGCCCCAGTAGAGCCCTTTGCCCAATCTGGCATGCGCCTCTCAGTGAGCCCACTCAGTCAACCTCCAGGGAGGGAAGGGATGCTGACTCTTTGTAGAACTCAGCTGAACCTACTGACTCACACACAGAGGCAACGTCCACTGAAGAACAGAACTTCGTACACCGGAATCGCCTTCAGTGCGTGAGATTCAATGAGACCTTCATCCTGGAGGCAGCTGAGGAAAGAGCAAATTCCCTTTTCTCATCTTATACTCCCTCGGGGGCAGATGCTCACTGAAGGCAGTGGCAAGTGAAATCACTAACTCTATTTAAATTATGTTTCCTTCTCTCTCCCCTTTTGTGCCAAACACATATCGTTGAATTTGAGCAAGATAAATGCACAGTCTGATGAAGCTTGAAACCTCCGCAGCAAAAGAGAAAGGCAAAAATTCTTTTGGTGACACACCTACCCAATTAGTATTGTGTGTTGTGGGGAAATTCGCACCATCCAGTACGCAAAGCTGCTGGTGTGGAAAACCTTTAAGATTCCATCAACTGGTCAGAGCTATCACCCTCGGCCGTGTTCCCCAGAGTGGAAGGACTGGCGTGGCTTTCACCGTCTTCCACCTCATTCCTCTTAGGCTGACTAGCGGGGTAGGTCGCTACACCCACTGGCTGAAGGAGTGAGATGGAGCAAGGCAACATCTCTACCCTGAAACCGACAGGACCAACTTCTTGGATTTGTGGATGCCCAGAGCTGATCTCCAGACCAGCATCTACCCAGGCGAGCAACCAATCCTGCCTCCTCCAACACGCCAGACTGAAAGCAAGTCCTGGGTCCTTCCAGATCAAAGCAGCACGTGCCCTCTGCTTTCCAGAGCAAAACACGTCACTTTGAACGCCACCGAAATAAACACGTATCCCCCTGTGCCACTGGGACCGCTCTGGAAATGTTCTATTGAACCTATGACTTACCATCCAATCCTGTATATAAGGGACAGGATTCTTTACCAACAAAACCGCGTTGTTAAAACAAAGCGCGATTGGACGCCTCTGCAGTCCTGCTGCGGCCCTCTGCCCACGCTCCATACTTCTAACACAGCTCCTCTCCATTCTCCTCGGAAAAGCAAGCTTTATCCTTGTGCATGGGGACTGACCTCAAGCTTCTTTAACATACTTTGTGGAAGTAGCCAAAACAAATACAAATTAACAATGCACTGTGAATATCAATACTGTCTATAATGGAAAACTGAGGTCACTAGGAGAACCAAATTGTATTCAGAAACTCTTAACTGGGCACCTGCTGGTGTTACCTGCTGTGCCAACTGCTGTGAAAGGTAGATACAAAGATGAACCACACAGAGTTTCTGTCCCATCTCTTCCCTTCCCCCTAGAACAGTGGTTCTCAACCTTCTGGCCCTTTAAATACAGTTCCTCCTATTGTGACCCAACCATAAAATTATTTTCGTTGCTACTTCATAACTGTAATTTTGCTACTGTTATGAATCGTAATGTAAATATCTGATATGCAGGATGGTCTTAGGCGACCCCTGTGAAAGGGTCGTTCGACCACCAAAGGGGTCGCGACCCACAGGTTGAGAACCGCTGCCCTAGTAGGTATATTGTCTACAAGTGCCTTAAGCCAGCAATTCACCATGAATAAACCAACAGGAAAAACACTAACTCTGGGCAGGAAGATGATTACGATTGGATTGGCTAGTGATACGTTCAAATGTTCCCAGGAGGAAGAGTCTGACTCATCAATTCATTTTTCCCAACACACACAATGGGTTCAAGTAACAACATTTAGCTGCTGGGAGAGAAGAAAACCCAAGACAGCAACAGAGGAAGCGAGATATTTTACGATGCCAAGCACATTAAGACATGGTTCAGAGTGGTCTGAATACTCACTGTTCTTCTTGTACATCAAAATTTCAAAGGAATTCATCTCATAGTTCTCAAATGTTTGCCGCACCTTTTCAATTGTATCTTTATCAGTCAGCTCCCCATACATAAAACTGCAAATCAACAAAAAAGCTCAAGTTAGATTAGCAAATATTTATTATTCTACCAGCATATGTTCTATACCTAGCACTGTGCTCTGTAGTACACACACACACACACACACACACACACACAGAGAGAAAACATTCAAAAAGGATTTATGAATTCAACTGTGATCAAGACTCCATCACTATTCCCCAAAATAAACAGTCTCATAAGAAAGACACACTGGAGAAGAGTAGATCAGAAAACAGTATGACAACACATAAGGAATCAGGCAACACAGAACAGTCACAGAGCACTCTCTGAGTGGTCAGAGGAGGCCTCCCAGAGGTAAGGACAAATGAGATCTAAAGAGAAAGTGGAAATTAGCAAGGAAAGAACATTCCAGGCAACAGGTGAGCATGTGCAAAGGCACAGAGATGAGAGTGAAGTTAACTCTGGAACTGAATGCAGTTCAGTCCAGGATGACTGGAATATAGACCATGAGGGGAAATTTGCAGCAGATGACACAGAGAGGTAAGCACATCCCGGTCATGGAGGAGAGCATGGCCTTAGAAGCCATGAGTAATTTAAACTTCATCCTGAAAGAACTCTTAGGAAAGATGCAGAGGAAATTGACCACAGACTTTTCTTCTTCTAATTCACAATAAAAATAAATACAAGTTGGGGGGGGGAGATCACAAAAGGTCTCCAATCAAATAAGAAAAGAGATGCAATTTGATGTTCTAAACATTAAGACAGAGTTAAAGAACCAGAAGATTCAGCCACTAATCCATGCAGCTGTTTTCCTACCCTCTGCCCCCCTCAAAAAAAGAGGGGAAGCATTGAGCTAAAAAATTGATGATGAAATTCTACAAATTCTCACTCCTTCCTGCTCACGTTTAGAGAAAAGTAGACGAAGCGGGTAAAGCAGCAGCATGGGGAAAATTAGAGAAAACTCCTCGAGGGCAGAAACTCCTGCCTACTCGTACTGGTTCTCGGCAGAGGCAGAAACTCTGCCAGAACTTTCCATTTTCCTGGCCCCCACTGTCTATGGTCTAAAGACGAGGGTTGGTCCCTCCAGGGACAGGATACACCCCAACGAGGCAGAGCGAGCCATGCACAGGACATTAACAAAATGAAAGAGAAGAAAAGCTATTTCTCAATGGAGCTGGAAAAGCCAGTCTTCTGACAAAGGCTCCCCATAGATGCAGGGACCATCTGTCCTGCCCACCCCAGGCCTTCAGGCAACAATAACAAAGACAGCAACACTCAGCCCCCAAGTCTCAGGGAAGGTGGAAGCAGTGGCATGGGTTCCTAAACAAGACACTCCCCGTCTTCTAAAATTGTGCATACCACATGCGAATCTAACTGGTTCTTGATGACTTGCTGCATCGTAGCATTTCAGAGCTAAGAAGAACCTCAGAGGATATGGAGTGCAAGTCCTGAACCACCAAGTCGAGCGCCATGCTTAGCTTGATACTGGAGCGGCCTTGGGCTTACTGCGGGCTCCTGTCAGGAAAGTGTCCTAGCTGTGGACTTTATGAACCCGTGTCACCTTGATTATGTCCTTTCCCAGCCCAGTGACAGCTATTAGTACCTGTGGTTTCCCAATGTCTAGCTCTTGGCCTTTGGGTGTGCTCGTCATCTATAAACCAGCTTGTTGAATTATCTTTAAAAAAGAATAGATCAAGACTGAATTAGCCGTGCCAAGAACAAGAGGATTCCTCCGAGGAGGTAACAGCTTCAGCTCTATGACCATTTTATTTGGCCGGTTGTTCAGAGGAAGCTTTTCGAGCTTCCTCCCACTTTCTCCGAGTTAATTTGCTAGATAAGTGACCTCCATTTAAGTGATGCGATGCCGGCTCTAAATGCCGGCAATTTACTTCACAAGATTAAACAAATGCCCGTAGAAAGGAGTCTTCAAATAAACGGAGGCCCATAATGACACCCAGTTTTCATTCTCGGATGTACTTTCTTAAGCTGTAGTGTAAGATGCCTTTTCCTGGGCATTCTACTTCAGATGCCTGCAATGCAAGAATTAAGCGAAAGAGGCTCCCGAGCGTTGAGGAGTACTGGTATAGCTGGCACAAGGTAGGTTTACCTTATTTCTAGAGAAGGGACAACTTCAGGGAAGTACATGAGCTTCTTAGGATCGTATGGTTGGTTTGTTTTTTGAAGGTGGCTAAATGAGCAAATTGATCTGATTTTCTTAAAGTATCTGATTATAACCAATAAGAAGCAAGAAAGGGAAGGAAAGGCCGCTCAAGTCCCACTAGAAAGTGAAGCTACCTCTCCCAATTAGTTCTGATGGCATATGTGCACATGCAGATGTGGATCTAGACATAGACACGCAAGAGGATGAAAGCATACCACGACTGTAAGAGGATTCTATTGTATTACTTAAGAGCTATAGTTTCTTAATCTTTGAGCATTGGGCATGGGGGATCTTAAACTTTCTATTTCCCAGTCCCCAAAACCTAAAGTTTAAGAAAACAATAATATTTTCAAAACATTTCATACTTTTCACCAAACTAGTTGTTTGGCTGACTTCCTAGCATGAAAATGCATTGTCTCTGAAAACCAAAAACGATGCCTGGGTCACACAGCGTTTTCCCCCCTTCGTGGATGAGATTATTTCTTGATTTGGAAGGATTAGGAAAATGATTCTGCTTCTTGCAAACACACTGAAGGCAGAGGACTCAGGAAAAAGAGGGGAGTGAGAGGAGCCTAAGGCTGTGCTGAGCCCAGCCCTGCCAGGGCTCTGCAGGGAAATGCAAGGCAGGAGGGAGGATCCGTGTTCCACTCAACACCTTGAAGACACTTCGAAAGAGCTGTTCTAACACCACTGCCCAAAGGTGCTGCTTGGTAAGTAACCCTGTCCGATACACAAGCTGCACAGTTAGCACCATTACCCTCTGCCTTTGAGTTAGGGATCAGAGAGAGCTGTAACAAGAACTGGAAGGCAACAAAATACGGGTTCTCTTCTCTTTTTCTGATGCAAAGCTCTATGATCAAGGCACTTGTTTCCAACATTGTATTCTCTAAAATAGCCATAAATCCTAAAAATTAATCATCTAAAATTTCATTTTATTTAATCTTCTAACTTTCACATTCAGTTTTATCTAAAACCTTATCAATTTCTGAGTTCACATTCTATAGATAAAATGATTTTTCTGAGTTTTTCTAGGTTCCCCTCCCCCCTCCCCCAAATCTTACTGACTGGGAGTTCAGCAGTTGTGGGAACCATGTTTTAAGTCTTTGATTTTCCCAGTACAGTGTGTGACATGGAGATGATATTGCCATAAATATTCCTGAATAAACACTGAATGAGAGAAAGGTGATTCCCACCCTGAGTAAGCCATTTCTTTTTCCGAAAGATGCTCTGATAGGTTGTCCAACAGAACAGGCCCAATGATAAATACCTGCAGGTACTGCTTTTTTGCATAACTTCTGCCCTGTGATAGCCAGAGAGCTTGCAAAATCCATCATTGCTGTACACGATAGGCCAATCCACTATCTGTGCGTTCCCCAACACAAAATTAGTATCTGTTAAAAAAAAGAAGAAAAGGGCACATTACTTGCGATTCAATGAGGACATAAATAATGTCAACGATACCAGGTAATTTTGCTTCCATCCATAATAGTCTCTTGAATAAGAAAGTGACTCTTCAAGGAATCCAAAAGAACAGCGATTTAGAGTGAATCATCTGAATGCAATTGCTAAGGTTACTAGACCCCAAGAAGAAGTTAGCAAAGGAAACATGGTTAATCAACCAACCAACCAACAGATCCTGTAGCAATCCAGCGATTCCCAAGAGACATTTTCCAGTATGAATTTTTTTATCTCAATGAAAGTATTCTGGTAATATGAAACAAGAAAGATACCAAGATAATTTCTTCTGGGCTCCATCCAGCATCTTCAGCTTGTCAGTCTTTGGGCCAGAAGCTACAAATTGACCTCCGTGACTCTGATTAACATTTGCCATCCTAGGAGGTTTGATTTCTGGTCAGGGCACACAGCTAGGTTGAAGTTTTGATACCCAGTCAGGGTGCATACAGGAGCCAACCAATCATTGTTTCTCTCTCATCTCTCTCTCTCTCTCTCTCTCTCTCTCTCTCTCTCTCTCTCTCTTCCCCCCCCCCCCCATCCCTCCTTCCCTTCCTTTCTCTCTAAAAATCAATAAAAACATATCCTGGGTGAGGACTTTTTAAGTGAGTAAAAATTTAAAATTCAGCATAAATATTAGAAGATAAAAAAGGAACAAAAGATAAGAAACATAAGAAAAAAAATAAGACTTAGAAGGTCAATCCAAGAGGATCAACATGCAACCTAATAAAAACAACAGAAAGAACATGGGAGAAGGCCAGAAGACTTTTTAAAATTTTAAAACAATCAAATGTGAGGATAGAATAATGATATTTTCAAGTATGCAAAGACTCAGGTAATTTATTTTCCAGATATCCTTTCTTGGGGAGTTACTCTAGAATGTATATCAGCAAAAATGTGGGTGTAAAGGAAGAAAGAAGACAGCATGGGAAGTAGGGGAAATGGCTCCAAGTGTAGAAAGCAGGGGGAACTAATAGAAATCATTCCATACACAATGGTTCAGAGAACAGACATTTCAGAAGTGAGTTATATAGGAATAAACAACATAAAAATTCAATAAAGGTATATACTTTGGAGGGCAGGAAAAGAAATTAGAAGCATCGGAAAAAAAGCTGTGCAAGAAAGGAAATCAAAATACACTATGTCACATTATTGTCATAATTATAAACATCTTAATTTCCAACTTTTAAAACCAGCATAGTCAAGCATGGAATATCTAATTATTAAGTATCTGAATATAACCTCATCAATTCTGACACTGTAAAAATACAAATGATAAGCTTAGAGAAATAAAAGAGAACAATCATGAGATGGTATCTAGAGTTGCTATGATAAGGTATTAATATTTTACTTCAAATTGCAAAAATAACCAATAAGGGAGCAATATAATCTTAGGAGGTAGAAAGTAAATAAAGTGAGCTAAAACCTCAGCTAAATTAACAGAAGCCACGAGATATCTAAAATTAATAAATCTAGAAATAGTTGTGATGCATGTTATTTAGAGACATGGAAGAAACTGTAAGAAGAAACAGCTAAAATTAGAACATGTGGTCTTTGGTTAGCAGAATGGGCAAAGGGACAAGGTATAGGATGTTTGTTTCCTTTATAAGCCCTTCAGTTTGATTTTTTAACCATGAGCAAATATTACTTTCATAAAAGTAGGTATATGCTTAATTTTTAATGAATTTAATCAGAAAAAAATAAGTTATTGATTAAATTTTTCATTTACTAAAAAAAATAAAAATAAAACCAGGATATATTTCAGGTTCCAGATATTATTGCAATTTCTCATGAAATATTCTGGTGATCCTTTAAAGGTATTCATCATTCCTCAAGCATTCCCACTGTCCCTGGGGTGCATATTCACCTACAGCTTTACTGGGGAAGAAACAGGTAAGTCCACCAGCATTTTCTTTGACTTTAGAAAGGAACCAGAAAAATAGGAAGTGCTGCAAGAATAGAATCATCAGCCTATTGACCATCCACTCAGAGGATTTCTCATCATAGAATTTAAAATTCCAAAGCAGTTTATCTACTGCGAACCCAAGCAAGAAATGAGAGCTTGCCGGGAGCAAGACCCCATGATGTGACAGAAGGTCTAGGCATTCCCTCGTTATCCAAGGACTTGAGCCAACGGAAGAAAGAATTCTAGTCCCAGTCAGAAAGCCATCTGTCTCCAACAGGAAAGAAATTCATCCTGGCCCACCTGCCATAGCCCATACATGTGACCCCCCCCTCCCCACTCTGCTTGGCTGGAAAAGGGAAATATTCTGGATTGCCTTCAACTTATGAACTACAAATAATTGACCTGAAAATTACCTTCCAGAACACAAGATGATACAAGATCAGAGATACCCATACAGATGTCATAATGTCATATATAGCATCAGGAACTAAGGGATTCCACATAAGCTATATTCCACATATTACTGAGAATGGGTAGAAGTTATTGATATTTATTTACTTTGTGTCAGGCTCTATACTAAGTACTTTATTATATACTAGAGGCCCAGTGCACGAAACTCGTGCATGGGTAGGGTCCCTTGCCGCTGCCAGCCACCTGCCAGAGCCTCCCTTACCCAGCTGCCAGCTGCCAGCCAGCGTCTTCCTTAGTTCCGTGTCGTTCCCTGGTGGTCAGCACATGGCATAGCGAGCAATGGAACTCGAAGTTGGTTGAACTCCTGAGGGGACACTTTGCATATTAGGCTTTTATATATATAGATTAAGATTTTTTTTAACCTTTACAACAACCTTTATGAGGGGGTATTACTTAACTGAATGTAGTGTCATGGATTTCATTTATTCATGAAGAAACTGAGCTTCTGAGGAATAGAGCAGATGAGAGTGGGGATTGAACCTGGATCTGTCTCGCTTCAAAATCCATGCTTTTAATCATATATTACAGAATCTCCTTCTTATCCCATTTCAAATACTACAATCAGACCATTTCTATGAAAATCTTTGTAACACCTAATATTTATGTGCCTTCCTATAGGAACACTAAGTATAATAAGATCTTTCATTGATGAGTCAACATTCCCAGTATTGTCATCATATATTATGACTTACCTTGTGATACACAAGGATGCCCTCAGGAAATACTGACATGGGTAGGAGTAATGGTTTCCTCCTATCAATGCTTGGCCTCTCCTGTCAGTCTTTTTTTTTAAATATATTTTATTGCTTTGTTTTACAGAGAGGGAAAGAAATAGAGAGTTAGAAACATCGATGAGCGAGAAACATCGATCAGCTGCCTCCTACACACTCCCTACTGGGGATGTGCCCGCAACCAAGGTACATGCCCTTGACCGGAATCGAACCTGGCACCCTTGAGTCCGCAGGCCGATGCTCTAGCCACTGAGCCAAACTGGTTAGGGCTCCTGTCAGTCTTTGCAATGTTTTGTCTCTTCCCTCACTTACAAACTATAGTCTCTTCTTAAAATTTAGTATTTCTATAACAGTCCTGCTTCCACACAGTGACAGGAGAGGAGGAGGGACAGGAGAGGAGGCAAAGAAGGAAGAATTTGTGCCTGGATCCCCATTTGAGACTCAGGGGTGGGAGAGAACACCCATCGGCAACTCAAAGGTGCTGCACAGCAAACCTGGCTGTGTTAGCACCACTGAGCCTCCCTCAGCTCCCATGGGGTCTGCAAAGAACCCAGAAGCTCCCAACTGCCCTGCTACTGCTGCTGCTGAAATTGCATGAAGAGATGGTTATCACAGTGGAGTAAGGTGACCAAAGGCCTTGTCTTATCAAACCGCCCAAGGCAAGGATCAACTTGGCGGTTCAGTAAAATATCAGAGGTGAGCTGCAGCACCAGTGAGAGCCTGGATTATCAAGTTACAGAGAAGGGGAGAGAGAGAGAGGATATGTGTAGGATTGGGACAGGACACCAAGTTCTTTTCAAAGAATGGAACATAGGTTCACCAGCTGCACCCTTGAGCCCATAGATCAGTTGGTCACCCAGTGACCAGCACACCAGGGCTATTGCTAGAGACCCAAGAAACTAGAGGGAAGAAATAAAGTTTTGCATCTGGGGATCTGAGGCTCCAGAGGCTAGGCTAAGTGCTGGCCTCCACCCCACTCACCCATCTTGGAGAGAAGCAAGGGGATGGGTAGAATTGGCATCTGAACCCAAGAGAGACCCAAAAGGATTATTTAAAATGGAAGAGCTTGCCGAAACCGGTTTGGCTCAGTGGATAGAGCGTCGGCCTGCGGACTGAAAGGTCCCAGGTTCGATTCCGGTCAAGGGCATGTACCTGGGTTGTGGGCACATCCCCAGTAGGAGATGTGCAGGAGGCAGCTGGTCGATGTTTCTCTCTCATCGATGTTTCTAACTCTCTATCTCTCTCCTTTCCTCTCTGTAAAAAATCAATAAAATATATTTAAAAATAAAAAAAATAAATAAATAACATGGAAGAGCTTGAGATACCACTAACTGGGCAGTTCAGAGTCCACCAAACCTAGTCTCCCCCTTGCTGTTTAGTGAGGTGGGACTTTTTAAAGGAGAGAAGATCCGTTAAGTAAAATAAAGAAGTGAATCTCGGTGGATCTGAGTCCAATTGGCCAGTGGCCTGCTGTGAAGCACCACGCCTGCCACCAAATTCATGTTGTCTACGCTGAACAAGTCCCTCCCACATTGTTGAGTAAGATGTGTGGGTTCAACCTGGCCGCCCTAGCCGTGATTTATTGGCTCTCATCTCAAAGTTCCCTGGGTCTCCAGTCTTTGATGCAAATGAGCCAGAGTCTCCTGCCTCCCTCTGATCCTTTTTACCCCCTGAGGGTCTTTAGCTGCAAGAGTGTGTGCAATCAAATGTAAGGTTTCCTAAATTCAACCTCCCTCAGCCCACACATAGTTTTCCTCTTTGTAGGATAAAACAAACATTTCTCTAAAAATTGGAAAGACCCTCCCCCAACCCCCCACATAAAGCTTCTTCA